AGGGGGGGGTCAGACTGTCTGGGTGGGGTAATGAAGGGGAAAGTTAATTGAAGAGGGGGGGTCTTACCTGCTTGATTGGTGGTAAGAACAGTTGATTCATACAGTCTTCCAGACAGACATGAAAATAGAGGGAAGTGTTACATTGGCAGTGAACAAGAACAGTTCAATCATGCAGTCTTCCAAACTGACAGACATTCTAAGTCCAATAAGAAGTAATCCCAGTTTGGATTAGGTTCATTCAAAAGAAAACAAAATGTGTGCCTCTAAAGACCTAGCTGTACCCTACTCTTGGGACTGAACAGGTTTTGATGATGTTAATATAAACATAAAATGCTTTTTGGGCCACTTATTTACTAGTATTTATTTATTTATTTATTTATTTATTTATTTATTTATTTATTTATTTAAATTAATGCTATGCCTAAGCTTTTTCTTATAAGGAACTCTGCAAGTTTTATATTATACTATACATTGTATAAGTTTAATTATTCGGTTATTTCTTTGCTTCCCATCCTTTAAGTGTAGAACATTAAATGAGCAGAAGAATTTTAACCCTGTGAGTTTAATATTCATTAAAATCTTTGTTTCTTCAAGAAGTTATAAAGAGAAGGCCTTCTCTTTATAACTTCTTGGTTTCTTTAAACCTATTCATCTGCTGAAGAGATTTGTTATTTATGATTGATGTACAAGTAGTGTTCTTGACATGTGAAAGATATAGTGTATAAATAGGGATGAAAGAAATGGTGTATAAAATAACATGGCTGGGAATCATATTTAGGTATACAAACATCACAGGAGAAATCAACGTGTAGATGTGAACAACACTTGATTCCTGTGTCACTGAAATTCCTATTACCTCCAAGTTGTATTTCCCCATTCTGTCAACAATGACTGTAAGTTATTGTTCCCATGGCAATTAGCCTACCTTGTCTTGGCATGCCCTCCAGATATCAAACAACATTGTAGAACAGATGGACAAACAACCACTTATCCTGCTCCCTCAAGTCCCCAGTTCCTTGCCAGTCCTCTTTGTTCTCCTCCCACAGTGTAACATGCCTCCACATCAACAGTCAGGTAGCAATTGTTTAAAGTCAGCTGAGGATGTGGTCTTAATGCTGTTACCTGGGGGCACCTGCTGGGCAGTACACACCTTGGTGGTGGTGTCAGTTAGGAGTGGGAGGAGGATGGCAGGTAAACACTGAAGGTGAGCTTAAGGAGGTGTGAACACTGCATCATTGTGACCCCAGGGGTGATTGGGTCTTTGATTGGTGGTCAGTTTCTCTTTTGGTGGTCAGTCTCTCTTTCCCCTCAATACAGGACAATGATGTCCTCTATCTGGAGTAGACTTGGTCTTGGTAGATACAGGAAATATAAGCGGCTGGACACTGGGGGTTGATAGGAAGGCACAAAATTGACTGAAATTCAGTGTTAGGTATATATAATGTCAGACTACAGATTGTTGATTGTTAAAGAGATTAATGCTGTTAGGATTAATATAATTGTTATGAAAAATATTTGGAACCCAAAAGAAATAAAATGAATCAGATAAATAATGTAAGTTAAATTTGCAACTACTTTTAACCAAGTAATCACTGTAAAAAAAGACTGCCATTGGCGTAGAAAGCTTGCAATACTCTTAAACTTTTTTTTTGCTGAATTCTCAAAATTCCAGGCTATATCAGTATGCCTGCAACATCTGAATCACTTTTGGAGCAATATTGTAAAGTTGACTTCATGTAGTCGGGTAGATGTTTCTCATTATTGCAAGTTAAGCCCCAAGAAGTAAACTCGAGTAATTATCAATATTTGTTGTCCACAGGTGACCTAGATGGCGAGCACAGCACCCCGAGTCTCCCGGGGAGTCCTCTGGACAGTTCCCTAGAGCAGTACCCCATCTCAGACATCTCCACATCAGAGGTGGCCTGCATCCCTGTTCTGAACACTGCCAGACTGGTGGCCAGGATGAGGTGAGGTCACACCAACATTTCCACCAATGAGAATTCAGTTGTTTTTCATCTGCAGGATGTCTTCATATAAGTTACAGATAATTATTAACCAATAAAACTGAGACTGCATTCCCACAGATTTAGATCGATCCATCTGGATTGACCTAACTCCCTGGGGGTTCATGCTAAATTGCTGTCAGCCAAGCGCGCACAGAAGTTCATTACCCATTAACATCTTTTAGTAGGCGGGACAGACATTTAAGCCAGCTAAACTGACAGTAATCTAGTGAGACTCCCTATGGGAATAGATCGTTCTAAAATCTGTGGGAATGCACTCTAAGATTGATTTCAGTTTTTGGATGAAATGATATCTGATAATATTTATTAAATTGTTCAATAAAAGAAAACAAATTTTAAATAATTTCTAATATTTCTTTCCAGTCAACTGGTAGAAGAAGCCACCAAAGCCGAGGCAGCTGCTGCGGCAGCCAATGGGGCTCCCAGTGGGCCAGGAGGAGGAGGTAACACGGGGGTCACAGATGTCACATTGTTTAGAGAAATCAAATAATGAATGGACTGGATTTGGTGCAAAAAACCCTTCATATTAATGAGTTGTTTGGGGTCTTCAACAATTTTTCTGGTACTTTCTCTCTCCCTCTCTCTCTCTCTCTCTCTCTCTCTTTCTCTGTCTCTCTCTCTCTCTCTCTCCCTCTCTCAAATTTGAAGAAAAATTAATTGGGAATCCTTTTTTTATCCATCAAAATATTTGCACCTTTCCTCTCTATTTTCCTCCAGATGCATCCAGAGACAGTGCAACTCCAGGAGGAGAAGATGCCAGTGAAGACCCCAGTGCTGACAGAGGTCCCAGCTCCCAGGGAGACAGCCTGGGCCCAGGTGGCAGATCCCAGGGAGACAGCCTGGCCTCAGGTGGCAGATCCATGGGTCCCAGCAGGGTCACCCCCACTGTGGAGTTTAGCACCAATGACAAGTAGGTGAATGCTTTGGGTGAAAAACAGAATAAACAGAAAACAGAAGTGAAGTTTACAAATTTTAATGGTTGTCGGTAAGATAATATTGCTTTGAGTAAGATTTACAAGATTTAATTTTCTGAAGAGATAGTATTTGGGCCCATATTGAACTCCAGTGCTGAATTTTGAAGAAAAATATTATGTTTAAAGTAGAATTCGTATGTTTCTTAATTGATCATATTAACCATGATCTAACATAGAAATCTTTCTCTCCAGGAAAAGCCCAAGAAGTTCTGTCATATGAATCCTGATTTTTAAGGAAACAGAGTTGAAGATATACCAAACAACTGCATAATGAACTAGTTCACTTGGAACCAGTGGTGTAAAACCCTCTCTCGGATTCTCAGTAACAACGACCTGCTGTTTATATCCTACATATGAATAGAAGGAGGAACAAAAGCAGGATGTAGAATGTTTTCACTCCTAGAAGCCAAATGTTACAAATGACAAAGAGAGAAGGGCACTGCTTTGTTACAATACACATGAATTGCCAAATATGCAAATATTTCACATTCAGCTAAGTAGATTAGATCCGGTTATCAACATAATATTTATGTATGCTGTTTCAAATTTCTGTTGAACAAAGCCTACTTGCACCTCTAGCACTGTTATATAGCCCAGTATTACCTTGCTAAAAGACCATTACAGTATTTTTCCTTTGTAATGCACATTTCCTCACATAATTCTTTATAAGCAAAAAGATTAAAAAAAACAATTATACCTTGTTTAACTCTTTTGAACTAAGTTTGTGGAGCACTAGTAATAAAATAACACTACAGGAGGAGATGGGGGGGGGGGGGAGGCTCTCATTTTTGAGCTTTGGCTCCAGCTTACAGCCAAGAGCACTTGCTATTTTCCCTATAACATGCTGAAAACTGCAGACCATGTAGAACACTGGATTAATGAGGTCAGCATTTAGTTAACATTGCTTGAAGTTTTTAAGATCAGTTTTCAACCAATTTTGTTTCTAGAGAGATATGAAGTTGAATTGACATGCTGCACTGAAAATATATGGAAAAGTGCAGATAGACTAGCAGTAACCAGGCTGGAATTTGGTTGGGAGATGAATGTTGGGTGTCAGAGCTAATTTATAATATGCAGAGAACTGTTCAATATGACAAAGAATTCCAGTGTCCACAAAAAAGCTATGGAAAATTTTCCACCTATATATTTACTAATTTTCTAGATACTTACAACTGTGGACGAGGATTCTGTACAATGATGCTATTTGTTTCCTTTTTTTCCCCAAAAAAATACATATTCAATTTTTTTTCAATCTGTGGACCAAGTTCATCTGTGCTCACATGTCAGTTTACCAGTAAAAAATTAATAGAGGAATATGTGTAATTCTTATTGTGAAAGGTCAGGGTTAGAGTAGAGATTTTGCATGCTACATGGGAATTGGTTGTCTTTGGGACCAGGTACACGCATTCCCTGAAATGTAACTGAGGTTTCTGTTGATCAGCATTAGAGAGGAGTTTTAAGATTATCGGATAGGATTGTCAAATGCTACAAGTGGTGCTGAGGATTGAGTGTTTTTTTTTTCTTTTTCTTTACTTACTGTTTTTGTGCAATATGAAATAAAATGTTTATTACTGTATGTAATTGCTTTATCTGTTTGACACTGTGTGTATGAATATGCAAGTTGAACTTGTCAGAAATATGAAAATATCAAGACTGTTTTTAAAGAACTATGTTATTAACACTTGTATAACAATTACATATCTTATCCGATAGGTTAAACATGCAAGAACATCTTCAAATTTGAACCGTACAACTCGTCATAATATGGCACATAGACTGATATCTGGCTCTTACAACTTCAGACACTAGGGATCTGTAAAAAGGGAGTACTTCCCAGCTCTCCAACTAACATCACAATCCCAGTTCAATGTGCACATAAAATTATTTAAAAACCCAAGCACAATAATATGACTTGTGTAGAGTTACATCTTTATACAGTAAGTATGGCTCAATCTACAACTTATAAACTTGGGCTTATAATATTGAACCCATAATGTTTACTTTACCGTTTAAAACGTTGATGCCCAAATGACATTTAACAGCAAGACAAGTAAAAATAATGAACAAAGTTAAATTATCTTTAAGGTACAATATATTACAGTTTATATTTTAACACTAAGATGTGTTTCTTTCTTAAATATGAACAATTTATCTAACTACTAGTGTAAAAACAAACAAAACGGGCAAAAATATATCATTAGCCAACAAAAGTTATCAAGAAACGATGGACCCAACTAAGGCATCAAACTTCAAACAGTAATTATCATTTTTTTAATCCATATTAGTATTTTCAGGACCTATTTATTAGTATCACTATGGACATACTGAGTTGCAGGGTAACAACAGGAGGCTCTCTTAATATAGAAGGCCAGCATGTACTGGTATGGCAGTCTCCCATGGGACTCTAACACGCAGGGTGCAACCCATAATGCATCACTCTCAGCTGCCTTGATGGGTCTTAAAGATGGAGGAAAAATCCATTCCAAATTACAATTAAAATATTTAAATCTGTGAGCATAACAATATATTAACATTCTAAGGCTTCATCTTTTGGGTATTATAATTAAATAATATCAACAACAATAACAGCACCAAAGTAGGCACAACAATTCTTAATCAACTTCTGGGAGATGCACATCAGTAAACAAATTATTTCTACTCTTTATGAGACAATTTTGTGCAGACTGTCCTCTTTGTACAAACTGCAAACTAAAGGGACTGCACTGAACCTATTATGCAGCTATCTAAAATGATTTTGCAAAAATATCATATATATTAATCTGTGATTAGAATAGTTATAGAGCTGTACCTTCAGCTGGCTACATGCATTTCACTTAAATTACTTTACCTTGAATTTCTGTATCACAACAACATATACAACATAAAACATCCCCAACTTTTCTCAGATCTACCTGACATCATCTGTGTCAATAATTTATCATTATAACAATCCCATTCACAGCAGATCAAATAAAAAGTCTTCAAGAATTATTTCAAACATAAATATATCTGCCTTTTTCCCTGGGTAGGTACCAATTCTGTCCTAACTGTCCTCAGAACTGGGTATGTTCAGATGGTCGGTATTAACAGGTGTGCTTGTACTGACACCAGTTTTTGATTATTTTTCAAGAACAGAAAGGGGGCGGAGAGCTGGGTCAGAACCTTGACCAAAACTAGAGGGAGGGGGTAATGAAGGCAGACTCAACTACCAACTTTCAAGACTGCACCAAGTACCCCTATACCCACTATCATAACAATGCCTTAGTTCAACAACATAAGCTGAGGACAAAAAAACTTATGAAAACATCCGGGTCATCTGTACTTTGGCAAAGGGCTGTGTGGATTCTACACCAACAACCTATATCTCCCTCTCCCATTAATAAAATCTTTCCACGTAAAAGGGCCAACACTGCCTATCAGAGGAAATATAATATCTTATTAAAATACCTACTTCTTTATTTATGATGAAAACCATAAGCTACAAGTTTATCATTAAAGAATTATACATATAAAAATACAGAATCATTCTAATCTAGAAAATAACTTCACAGACGATTCAACAGCTGCCTAGACAAAAAGTTTTAGCCTAAGTATTACACATAGAAAAAGGACCGTTTTTTTACCTGAAATAATTCACAAGGAAGAATCTCACGGGTAAAGAGGTAGCCTCTCTGTTTGAGCCCTAACCTTAGTTAAAGTATCAAAGCTTAGTATTATTTATGAGACAGGTGGTGGAAGTCCAATTAAAGTGACTAGTTCTTGGGTCAGTCAGTTTCTTGTTTTTTTCCTGAGAGAGAAAAGTGACGGATAAAAGTAAAACATAAATTTGTGCTTTAAATTTAATCTGTCAGTAAGTGTCCGTGTGTAAAACAAACTTCTACCTACATGGCAAGTCAGGGCCAAATGTGCCTAGGATCTTCAATTACCCCAAACTTTAGATAATGTAACAATTAAAGCTCTACATACCTAGAACACAATGGACAGACTCGGGTATGTTGATCATGTAAAGAGAATCCCATTTCAGCTCAACTTAATTTTACTTTGTAAATATTTCTACTGTTTACAGATGTACTACTGCAGTACTAATGCCCACATAGGGTCCACATTTTGGGTTAAAAAGCCCAAAAGTAACTGGGCATATTTTAACTCTAAAAGTGGAACCAGTCGGATATGTATTCAGAACTGTAAAGGGTGGATCTGACAAAATATCAAACCAATTAGACAATAATAAACTTATCTTCGTGAGGAAAATCTGGGAACACCATATATAAAAATGATGATAGTGATCAGTACTATCTGCTAAAGAACACCATAAATCAATAAGAGAAAAAACACACAGTTATGCCTGTTTAATTCAACTGCAAACACTTCAATTCAAGCTTGTAGTAGGGATGTATTGGGTGGATAACAAACAAAACAACCTTAAATCTTAATTTCCCAAAAATTCTCCACTCTTATCAAACAAAATGGCACTTCATACTACAAAATGATATCTTATTTATCACCCCATGGCTGTTACAAAAGCAACATATTCAAAGAATTTATGTGCCAGAGGCAATACTGGGGCAGCCCTAACACTCGACAATTTAGCCAAATGCTAAAATTGACTAAGTTGGCTAAACAAAAAATGGTTGATTTGACTTGTTAAAACCATTTAAACCATTTGGAAAAAAAATTGGCGTTGAAAAAGTTGCAATTTGGCTATGAGAAAAAAATTGCCAGTGCTAACCCAGCAATACCATAATGCCACAAAGAGTGGCCTTTCATTGAAGTCTTACAGATATTTTTCGGTAATCAAAACCTAATTTGAGTGTTTTACTCCACCAATTAGAAAACTTCCACTACTATATATACAACCCTTGTTTTAAGATATAGAGGGGTGTTTGCCTGGTGGAAGATTCACACTCACAGTCCTGGGGCTACAGTTTGGGGGGAGGGTCCCAGCTGGATTAAGTCCAATCTTTTTATTTGGTAATAATGAAGATGTCTTCCCTGTTTTAGAAAGTTTTTTGCTTTCCATCCCCCCAGCAGTAGAACCGTTATCTGCTTGTTGTTCAGAGTGTAAAAAGCGTGGGGAAGATGAAGATAAAGAAGAGGAGCTGACTTTATGTCCTGTGGTAGATGGCGCTAAATGCGCAGGAGGAGATTTCAAAGCTTTTGAACCTCTGGGTTGCTTAATGTCACCAGGATTGATCTTTCTAGAAACTGAAGAAGCACCTGTGGATGACGATAATGATGATGTTGTTGAGGAGATTGGTGATGACACTGAACACTGAGAGTGATGGATTCCAAACTTTTCCTTCTTCTGCTGTAGATTTGACTGTTTCCCATTCTTGGACATGTCCTTCGAATCTGTTGTCCCCCCAGAACTATGACTGCCAGGTCCTCCAAAATTCACCTGCAATGGGATGTCTTTCTTGTTATCTTTGCCTCTATCATCTGACGGCTTCTTATCATTAATGTCATTTTTCTTCTTGCCATTGTTACCGGACTCTTCCTCATCTATTTCATCATCCACATATTCAACCTTGGGTGTGCCTACAGTGTCTCTTAGAAACACCACAATCACAGAGATATTGTCACTTGAGCCCCGCGTCTTGGCCTCCTTCACTAATGCCTCGGCTATGTTGTCCCGAGTTCCCTTGTTGGTGTCAAAGTGTTCATAGATTAAGTTGACCAGATCGTTGTACGGGATGGTGTCCCACATGCCGTCACAGGCCAGGATGATGTAATCTTCTGTCCCGTCCAACTGGACAGTGGAGACGTCAGGCTCTCCGCTCACGTATGGCTTGTGGTCAGCATCACCTGGAAGAAATTTATCGTAAAATTAATATCTTGTTGGACATAAGTTATTTATGTCTGTCCACTTAGAGAGAGGTTGTGGTCAGCATCACCTGGAATCAAATCATACATCAATGAATATAAATATAAATCTGGGCAGTGGTCACAACTGGGCGTTCACAAGTCAGCATTATCCATAATCAAATAATTCATCAGTAAAATATAACTCAAATAAAGCTTTTTTTTCCCTAAGTAAGCTAAAACATCTCATTAAAACCTGTACCCACAAACCTGTAATGGAAGGGAGAAAAAACAGAGACAAAACACAAAATAATCATGATTCCAATTAGTTATCAAGCTTAACTTTAGCAATAAGGGGCAGAAAATCCTAGTGCTAATAAATTAAAACTACACTTGAGTGCCTCATTAAAAACAGTCCATAAAAAGTAAAAGGAAGACTTAGTAAATTAAAGCTGATGAAGTATTACCTATTGCCCTGGACACAGAGAGAGCACCATTGACCCTCCAGGCCCCAAACCAAATCACACAGCCACCCAGACCTTCTATCCTCTTCCTCTCATCCTGATAAATAAAAACAAGAAAACCATATCAAACAGCCACCCAGACCTTCTATTCTCTTCCTCTCATCCTGACAAAAAACAAAAATACAAAAAATTTTCAGAGAGAAATGTTAAAACTACAATTTAATGCAATTTATATAATCTTCACTGACACCATTTTCTGATTTTGTTGATAATTTCTCAGATATTCTTTCAAAAATTTTTCAATCACAACTTATGGCTCAAGTCAAAAGAAGACAACTCTTACATGATAAACCAGATAACGGTATTTAGAAAGTTTTTCCACTCAGTCAAATCAAACATAAAGCTTCACCTCTCTCTCTGGTTTATGTGGTTTCATCAGCTGTATGGGAGTGCCGTCTCTAACTAGCAGTGCCTGGGAGTCTCCCAGCCAGGCCGTGTGGAGTTTGTTCCCCCTCATTAACACTGACACACCTGTAGAACCACTGTTTAATTTCTGCAATAGGAGAATATTCCAAAAAATATACTTTACAAGTGCAGGAGATAAACGTAAAATAGTTTTAACTTTTAACTTTTAATTCATTTATAGTTTAAATACAAAGTTTAGTCCACTTTAAATATTCTTTACATATCAGTGCAGTAATGATTATCCACAGAAATCTACACAGAAAAAAGTTACCCCAAATGTTTTAAGGCAGTTATTTACATCATAGTTTGATAACTTTATCACAAATATTAAGTGCAACAAATTTAAATGGTAACAATTTATCACAAATATTCAGTGCATTAAATTTACATGGCAACGGCTTATTACAAATAGTTCAATTTGCAACAAATAATTATCACACCAGTTCACCTCTCTGTTAGATCTTGCCACAAAGCCCTCATCTGTGGCTATATAACCCTCCTTCATGGCTTTCTCCATGTCTTCAGGGAAGGCTGGGTGCTGGATGATGTTCAGGTGAACATGTGCAGCAGCGTATGCCGCAGCATCCGTGCCCCCGTGACCATCAAACACTGCATAGTACGACTGTGGTGGATGACCCTTCATATCATGAAACAAATACAACATTTAGCACCTTGCCTTGGATGTAGTTCTAGTCCAAAACCAAGGCCCCATTCAGATAATGAACTTACTAGTCCAATGGTCAAATATGGCTACCCACTACAAAGCTTGCCATGTAATCCGTTAATAGACACTGAATAGATATCCCATGGGGAAGTATTCAAGTGGGTCGGCCATATTTGACCCTCGGACTACTTGGTCCCCTATTCTGTATGGGGCCCAAGTTACTTCTACTACATGAGCTGGAGGTACAATAAGCAAACAAAGGAGCATTTCCCACATTTAAATATTGTGATTATCCCAAACTGCATTTTGTTGACAATTTTGTTAAATATGTCACATTTTGTTGACAATTTTGTTTATGTCACACAAGAGCTAAGCAAATTTTGTTTATCTCCTGGCTCAGCAGCTCCATGAAGTAAATACAGAGAGAACACGCATTACTGGAACAAAACTCTTCATCTCCCAGAAACTTTAAGTAGATTGGTGATATAAAGCTTTTTATGAATTTCTCAAAGAATTTCGCAAATCACTTTTGAAGAGAGGAAAATTTCCAATCATGCAACTCCAACTCTTCATTTTTTTTTTTTTTTTTTTTTTTTTGGTTTTGCATACAGATTATTCAAAATGAAATTGGATATCTATCTCAGAATCAGATTGTCTCTGCCTCAGTGACTTAATCTTTACGTAAAAACGAATAAATTACACCATGCATAAAGAAGCTAATACAATTGAGCTTCCTTGAAGTTCTAACTTATTAAATGACTGATAACAAAAAATCCATCATCAAATCTTAATTGAGCTTAAGTTAATTTGCAATGTGAATATGCTTTGGATTTGGCAAAGTATCAGCTGGCTAAATATCAAACAGCTGAAATCACATATATGTAATGAAAGTTTAATTTCCAACTGGAAGTTAATATATAAATAGATAAGCTCTGGGTTCAAAAAGTAATAGCTAAAGAAAATGACATGTGAGCTCATAGAAATTGATATGTAATATGATAACAGCTGCAAAGAAGTTGGCGTGTTGTGAGGTAGTGCATCTTTCAACACATAAATACCTTATCACCTACTGGGGTACACTTTTCATTATCACTTAATAATCTTAAAATTATTAGATATCTAGTTGAAATATGATATGCACAAAAAATTCTTCTGAAAGCAATTAAAATCTCTTCCCTTAATTTTTTATAAGTCTGTTGCTATAATTATGACAATGTTATTTATAACTTTTTGATTTATTACTCCATAAAGTTGCCTCGAGTCCAAAAAGAAAGTTCAAATTATAACATGCCTTTAAAGATGGCCAAATCTTAGAAGGTAATGCCAGTTACAAAGTTCTGAACATCGGCAGTTCATACAAATATATACAAATATATACAAATATATACAAATACAGGCTAAACATTTAAATTGAGAACCACTTACATTAACTGGTGATAAACAGATCCAACTTAAGGCTCTTTGTCCAAAGTTCTATATTTTTTACCTTGAGTTTAAACAGAGAGTTCAAATCATCGATGATCACGTGTCTGTCTTCCATCTTCCTGCGCGTGTTCTTGATGGTGTGTACAGAGATGGAGTGGTGCACGCTGGGAGTGGGGAGTTCTGGGATACCATGAGTTAGCCACTGGTTACACATTTCGTCCACTTTATTAAACAACTCACGGCCAAATAAGTTAGCATCTAATCCTAGGGGATGAAGAAAATTTACTCTGGTTAATAGGATTTACTGAATCTTAAATCAAAACCACTTGTGATTAAAATTAATCTACATTCAAAGAACAGACAATAAAGTTAGCATGATAAAATTTCAGCACTCCTTTATCCTGCCTTAGAATGAGATAAACATTCATCTGATCAAGGTAAAGTAATTCACATTGATCAATATGCAGATAAACCACAGCAATGGCAGCCAACAACAGTGTAATGGAATCTGGTATCATCTGCAGCAGAACAACCAGCCTCTTCTAGGAAAGAGAGAGAAAACTGCCCATTGATTAAAACCAATAAGTTTTAGATATATACTGAACTAAAATGTAAATGTACACAGAAAAGAAGAATGATTTATTTTTATGTAATTGTTTACAATGTAAGGCCAGCAATAACAGCATATATTCCTTTACAACTGAGCTTTAATTTGTGGCCATTACAGTGAATATGGAATCAATAATCCCAGAGCAATGACATCAAGTACACAGGAGAGGGGGGGGGGGGGCGCAATGGTCTGAGTTCACAGAGGTCAGTAAATCGAGTACGTCCACTACCCCATTGGGTGGAAACATTCACCCTGGGTGTATACTCACTGGCAGTTCCAGACATAGGGAAACTGCTGGTCTGACGGGTCCTGACTGCCTGAAAAGCCAGAGGTCCTGCATGATTTTTTTTTTTTTTTGATGCAGGTCCTCTGGACTGGCAACGTTTACGTGGAAATACAAAATTACATAAAAATGAATCATGCCTAAATATCATCAAAGGCACCAGCTGCATTACCTCCAAAGTTTTCCCCATATCTATGGAAGTGGCCAAATCCAACAGATCCAGTTGGTTTGAGCAATACAAACTAATCAATACAGAACTAATACATAAATATCAGCACCTTTCATGTCAGTTGGGATATATATATATATATATATATATATATATATATATATATATTAACTCAGCAGTTTAGGTTCATGTGGTTACATTTTGCATGATGAATACAAAGCCAAATCAGTGTTCACACATATGTAAAATTTTGTCAACTGTTTAATAATTTAGCTTGGTTATGGAGCTTTATTTTCAAATTTGTTGGTTTTTGTCTCAAAAAAATATTTTCAAGACTGGAAGTTTTTCACCTGCCTAGACTGACGCTCAATCCTAATCAGTTAACAATCAGCAAAATGAACAGCAAAAGAATCGTCTGCTAACCTGCACAGCAATATGAATTGGCTTTCTAATTTCGTTACTTGACTATATAAGATATCACTTTTAATGAACATGGTCAAGACAAAGGGCATCTTAGGGTCAATGATCATTGCAATATCTCTGCCATGGTTTCAATAAATATGATATCTTAGATATGATGAAGTGGGAAGTGGACTGTAAAACCAGGATTTTTTGCTGAGCTGTAAAATTTCTTTTTTTTTTTTCAAGTGTCATTTAATTTTTTGCCTACTGAATGAATTATACGTTTTGACATTTGAAGTTGTCCAACCATTTTCTTTTTTAGCGTTCTTTTTATTCTTGTCATGAAATAAAATGAATGACGTACAAATATTTCTGGGTTGACAGTACGCATGTCTTGGTCGACTTGAATACGTTTATATGATATACAATACATCCCCGCTTTCATGCACTATTTTGAAAATGATTTGAAATGTTGTCTTAGACAAAAATTTACTCAAATGAAAAATCAGGAAATTAATTTCATACAAGATTCATGTTCTACATTCTATTACTAGGTGAGAAATTGTGAAGTATTATGTGCACAATACTGATACAAAATGATGAGCTCTGAAACCCAAATGTCACATGTACTTTCTTTTGACAAGTACAAGAAAAACTTGATTTGACAGAAGAAAATGTGAACATCCTTACACTTTTCAGAAACTGTCAGTGTTTTTAACTCCAAGTTAAGAAATTAGTCTCATCAGTATTCCTGCCAAATTTGACAAATACATGATTTTAAAAAATAAGGTAAAATCCTGTCCATAAGGTATAGGAAACCAAAGAATAGCCCATTAAAGAAATTGTTCTGGCTGACATCTCTCAGGTTTCTGCCCAAAGACCAGAAGCAGCAAGAGCTGGTCCACGAAGCCTGTATAACATGGACGCCTGGCGACTGGCGCTCACATCTCAGCCCCAGGTGTTTCATCTGCTGGGCAGTCAGTCAGGACCAAGAGGAAATCACACAGAAAGATTCCTTGCCATCATAAAATGTCAACATTACATTGATACGACAAAAACTGCACTTTCATTTGCACTTGAATAACCAAACGGAAAATTGGACCATTTGGCTTATCTACGCCACACTGGTACCGTAATGAAGAATTATGCAGTGAACATGTATGTATGTATGTATGTGTGGAGAAGGAAAGTAGGCTACAGACCCAACAAGGACCATAAAGCCAATACCACTGCAGTTTTGCTGTGGAGATAATTTTGGCAGACACACACACCAAATATGGATTAAACAACAAATTATGCCTCCTCTTCAATGCCTTATTAACAGGCTTGTCTAAAATGTTTCATTTACCTGAAAAGGCTTTGAAGTTGTGTTGTGCATATTTAAAAAGATCTATCACTGGCTTTAAAAATAGTATTTGCATCTACCTGTAAGGAATGCTATATTTTTCAATAAAATAAAATAATAATAATAATAATAATGAATAAATGAAAAAAATATAACAATAATAATCAGAAAAGAGTAGCTCGAAATTGCATAATTACAAAATGCAGAATTATTCATGCAACCCTACAGTTGTGTGAGCCAAGTACAGAAATGCAATCTTTAAAGTTAATGCATCTTTACCACAAATTTAGAAATCAATGAAGTGCGGCTTTGTAAGCACTAGCCTAGGGAAATTTTTCCACAAAATTTCAGCATGAAACACCTAACCTGAGTCAAATCAATCTGTGCAAATGCTGTAGATTCATGCTTAAAATATGCACATTTTATAAATTTTGTTGACCAGTAGAAGAAAAAGTGCATAGTGTGTATGCATATATGTGTGTAAAAGGAGAAAAGAGGATAGATGGTCGGGGTAGAGGATGGGGAGGGGAGGGGGGCAGGGGAGGGGGGGGCAGGGGAAAGAGAAAGGTCCCTTTTCACTCTGAGGAGAAGTACATAGCATTAAATGGATTATAAATCTTAGCTCCGAGGTTTAATTGCTCAGCCCCTGCAGAAATGGCACATGTGGAGGCAGGGAGACCTTCAGGGGATACGATGGATTGCTTTTAAGTGGATTGGCCATATTTGATCTGCAGATCTGTTAGTCTGTAGATCAGCTTGTTCTGAATGTGATCAGTGTGTGAAATGGAGTAAAACTGAAGCTTTAATTTCATGTTAGGACCTCTGCAAGGGTATTAATATAAACAGACTGTATGGCTAGGGTAGGCCAGGATATGACAGGGGCCAGAGAGTGCAGGGTTAATGTGAGCATGATGAAAGTCTGTACAGCATTAATACATACTAGCATATATAACAGTACATGAGGCCTACGCTCAAAATCAACTATCAGATTAAGGCCAGGAAAGGCTCCTAAAATTACACAGTCCAGTACATAAAATGCTGCTTTACCCTGACCAATTCATTTAACCAAACTATATTGATTTTACTCTTGAAATTTTTTATCTCAACCTAAAATCTCAGCAAACTGGCAAGCAAAAGTCAATGTCATCGAGGCACTTATGCATAAATTATGCAAATGAAAGTACAGTTTACATGTAACGTGATGGACTAATGAAAAGCAGTTGCATTTTAATGAGCTTTCACACATAAAGGAATAAAAACACCGAATCAATGCCAACAAACCAGAGAAATCAGGCACACTTTTCATTAAGAACCAGGCAAAGTAAAAAAGGTCCAAAAATTTTAATATATCTTCCCTGCTATCAAAGCACATAATAAATGTTTGAAAATGACAAAGTACCAGTACCTTACATAAGGCATAAATACATCATTACTAATACAATGGCTACCTTTATACCCTCACAGTCAGATACCATTAGAGTCTTGAATGTGAACCGCCTGTGTTGGCATCCTATAAACTTTGATAGTCTGTCTGTATATTACTGCTGGTACTGTTGACAGACATTTCAACTGATAAAATGGAATATAAAATATACGAGATAGAGACATAGAGTGAGAGAGAAGCTTAAAGAGAACTGAGAAATCTTCAGGCAGTTAGTACCGAGTTCTATTCTCTCCTCAGATCAGTAGTTTCACCTGGCCCCCATGTGGAGAGTAACACTGATCTCCACATTTACACGCCCACAACTTACGCTGTATCTCGTCCTCGCTGCTTTCACTGTGGATGTGTGATAGGTCACTTTTCACCATCTTGACGGCCACCGCGTGGGCAATAGCATGTGCCAAGCGAGTAGGACATTTCCTGGAAAAAATGAACATATTGAATCACACTTCATTTGCTGCTGACAACTCAAGCCAGAATACTAAATTGTGCTGAATATATCTGAACATATTCAAATTCAGCAAAAGAATATAACACACAGTTCAATTTTTCTATTACACATTTGGCTGAACACAAAGAACTGTATTTATTTGGTTAATATATACATTTTGCCATGTTTTCCATTGAATGTCAAATGGAAAATAAAGCATAGGAAGAAAGATTTCAGAAGTTGATAATTTTTCTGTACTATTGACCAAAACAGAGATTTTGTAGGTTATGAGATTATGTCCCTATTTTAAGCACACAACCATTTATGGGGTGCATGCTTGATTCGCTAAATAAAGTTTGGATATTAACAGCAAGAATTTAAAACTCTGATTGGAAGGTTCTGAATTAAAATACAGCCACAAGAAATCCCTGGAGCATGTATCTTAGAAGCATATATCACAGGCAAGATTGAAATGCAAACACAATCTCGCCTAGACTGATTTAAAATCTGCCTGACTTCCATCTTGTCAGCACCATATATGTATTCATTCCTGCAGCAAAATAAAAGTGTTCTAATGCCAGAGATTATGGGCACTTATCTTCATGCTTCCAATAGTGAATTAACTTCTTAATGCCAATTAATAAACAATTTTTCCTGGGAAACTCCCACAGCAAGACCTTAAAGGCAAGTCTTAGAGCTCATTAATACAGCGCAGTGACAGCACAGCTTTCTCTTAGGGAATCGGTGGGCATCTTGATTCCACACAGAATATCAGATAAAAAAGTGCAACACTCTTCAGTTTGCTAAATGGCAAATCAATATATCTGTTCAAGGAAACGATGTGCAATTTAACGAATATGAAAATTGTTCATTTCTTTAGATGTCCCCTGCACCTCTTTATCCACAGGAAATTAAAAGCATAATTGAAATATTGTGAGGCTTACTTGTACAAATCATAGAAGAGCATTCAATTCTCAGACTGGTAGATTTTATTACGCTTAGTCTCCACTTCTGTGATTTCGTAGAACAACTTGTTGATTATATATGTGAACAAATTGGATTATTCCTTTATCTTTATCCGGAAAATCTTGTAATGGCTTCTTTGCTCAAAGCTGCAAGTGGAATTTCTGCTTATTGCTTAAATTTTCTACTTAAACAAAATAAAATTTGATTTTTATTTTACACAAATGTATCACTGATGTAGCAGTTTTAAAGATGATTAATTAATTTGCTGAAGCACATTATCTGATTGAGTCTTAATATTCCTTTTACATATTTGTCAGGACTGACGCAAAATAAGCTAGTAACCATAGTGAAAGTTGACTGCATAACCTGGTACAGGTGCCACTTCAGTTTTTTTTTTTTTTTTTCTAAAGATGCCTTACAGTCTACTTAAGCCAAAATGTTGTCAATCTTCACTGAGATACCATTTTAGGTTGTTTTAAATCATATTCACAAGTTATGTTTTTATGATGACATTCCCTGTCTAAGAACATCCAAGTTCTACATATACATATATCCATCACATCTGAAGTAACCAGTACATATCTGTCCCAGATACACCAGAGGTTGCTAGAAACTAACCTCTAGAGTCCAGGCCTACCCAACTACCAGACTCGGCACCGAATGATCCTGAATTCACCGGTAGATCAGACCACACTACCCGTTTTCAAGGTGTGTGTCAGATCGCATTACACAGTATCAGACGCGACACCACTCTTGCCTAGTACGCGATGTGATAGTGACAATTCTCAGCGGGGTTGAAAAGCATTGCATCACCACTCAAAATTTGTTCAGGGAATGATACTGTGTAATGCGATCTGACACACACCTTGAAAACCGGTAGTGTGGTCTGATCTACCGGTGAATTCAGGATCATTCGGTGCCGAGTCTGGTAGTTGGGTAGGCCTGGAGCTGGATACAGCAAATACAGTCATGACTGAATCTTTTCAATGGGAGAAATTGTGAACTTCTACAGATACTGCATTTTTTTAGTCCTAAATTCTTAAAATGAGAACATTCCATTGAGCAGTTGCAACAAAACTGAAAAGCAAGCTACCAATTAGTCTCATTCTAAGTTTTTCTATTAAAAAGTACCATAAATGCTACACAGAAATACATTTTTTATTATTCTAAAATGTATCTGAAAACTTGATTATTTGTCCCCATTGAAAAGTCTGAGTCATTTCCGTAATAGATGTTTCCAGCACTGGTTTCTGACAAAATCTGGCTTCAAATGTGTAGCATTAATAATAATTGCTTTAGTCAAACTTCAGCCCGTTCAATAAAATTCTGAAATATCATAATCAATGTCTACTTAATTGGATTTTGTTTATTGATTAATGCAGTATAAAAGCCATGCCCAATTCTGGCGTGTTCAACAGGGTGGTTATCCTGAAGTGCCCTATCATACAGACAAGTATGTCATATCAATAGACACTGCTTGATACAGAACAGACCTAAACTTGACACCTGTAATCTCATTATCAATACAGTCTGCTGTCTATGACAACACTCTATACAACAAAACTTAGAGAAAACTGTTGTAGTAACCCTCAACCCAGCAACCATTTCTATTTGGATATACGCGTAAGGTAACAGACAGTGAAAGAGGCTTCGACTGATAGATAATTAACTTTTAGCTTGCTTCAAAGATTCACCAACCATGTAAATAGGTTACATTACGTTTCCAAGAGGTCTGTGTTATTTTTGTCTTTGAATTACAAGGGTCTACCAACTTGAAAAGGTTTCAAAAAGGTTGCAGTCTTCTCAGTCATACCACTAATTGCTTTTTCTCACTTTTTATATTTCAGCTGCAATTTAGAGACTTGCATTGAAAGATTTTTTGTCTTACATCGAAACCCCTGAATAAAACAGCTACTAATAGAAACTGTGACCTGCTGTAACATATGTACACGCGCACACACACACACACACACACACACACACACACATGTTCTGTTTCTTATGTAAGTATGTAGAAAAAAATTATTTTCAGACTATTAAAAACATTTTGCTTGAAAAACAAGCATCATGTCCTGTCCAATGAAATAAGCTCCCATAATCTATGCCCCTTATATTCCTGAAAATTTATGTCAATCTGATTTCAGAGAATTTGAAAACCTGGCCTTATGCTGTGCACATCATATATCAAGAATTTTTGGCAGGGCCAAACAATATGAAGAACATTTACCTTGGCAACTATGTCAAAGGAAAATGCATATTGATATTGTAAATTCTTTATTGGGTTTAAACAAAACTGACACCAAGAAAAGCCCAGCTCTACAAGGCACTCTTGTTTTACCCCTAAACTTTTTCCTGTACATCTCAGCTACAGACAGCCATAAACCATTCCAACTTTCTCTCATCACAAGCCTAAATGATATAAAAATCCTAAAAACAAATTTCCACACTCAAGGACTGATGCTGTATTTTTTTCCTCTGTGGCAGTGTGAAGTGGCAGATGATGAAAAGACCTGGAAGGGATCAATACCAGATGAGAGCACTGTCAGGATGTTCAGTCCAGTTCAAGTACCCAGTTTCAAATTAGCTGCCGTACTGGAGTTTTTAAAGCTTCACCTGCCAGGGCACTGTGCTAAACTGAAGAAAACATGGATAGCTGGTCCATTCACCCAAATGTATGAGCAGTACAAAGTTTTTGTAAAATCCATGCAGCTGATTTACAAAAGCAAACAGTAATTCTTGATCTATAAATTTGAGTAAGAAAACATAGCATTTATTTCAGAATCAAGCCCACATATTAAAATCAGAATTTTAATCATCTTCAATCGGAAGTTTTTGTTTACAAACCTTGTATTAGTAAGGAGACAAGGACATATGCAGGTTAAATTTAAACTTGTGATTATGCAAACTGAAGGTTGGATTTGACACACACGTGCACACACACACACACACACACACACAGGTGCATACACACAAACATACACAAAGGCACCCATATACTCTCTCTCTCTCTCTCTCTCTCTCTCTCTCTCTCTCTCAAACACAAACACACACACTACCATAAAAAAGAGCTTCTACCTATTTTTTTTTTTTTCAGAATACTTGCTTAACAAAAGTGATCTGTCTACAGTCTGTTCTCACTTATGACAACCAACTTGGCACATTTCCTTTCATTTGTCTACTACAGAATACCTGTAAAACCACATCTGAATAAGATCTTAGACAACCTTTCAAAGATAATCTTCGTGAAGAGTGGATGAATAGAAATAAGTAAAGAAGCATGCCAAATGACCCTTGTGGAAAGAATAAAAGAAAAAACATTTTCCATCAAATTAACCATCTTTCATTTATATGCAAACTACTATGTGTTATAGCTATCTGTAGTCTACATAAATAAAATTGAGTTATCTTTTATTCAAAGCTTAGACTTTACCTAGATATATATTAAAAATTCTATAGTGTAAAATACTGAATACAGTAATTTGCTGTCTGCTTTAATTCAGCAATACCTGGATCTGTCCCTGATCATCATCATCATAAGCAATCCAGGTAAAATAAAGGAAAAAAACTTCCATACATTCACCTGAAGTGAATTTGGCGGATATTAAATCCTTTATTGAATACATTGCATGTAAAGAACTGCATGGCGTACAGCTTTTCATTAAGCTACAACCACCAAACACAATGGGCAGAACTCAATTAGCTGGCTATTTTAGCTCATTCTCCCACTTAACTGCAGCAGATTGATCTGTCGTACAGTAAGGTCAAGAAAACAAGAGCTGACTGATTGGCACCATTCGCAGACAACTTGATTTCATCCTCCAGATTATAATCTGCTTCAAAACTGTTTGTCAGATATTGAAGTCATACAATGAAAATAATTACTACAGGCGGTCGATGGGCAGCCACTGCTTATCCCCACACATCCTCACATCCACCCCCCAGGGACAGCCCCACCCCCGGGGAACCTAGGGTCCTATTTCTTATATATATATAATAATAAATTAAACATGTTCACATTTCCATTAAAACACTTTCTATCATAGGCCAAACATAGAAAAGAAACTTTCAGACTTCAACTCAGCGTNCGAAAAGGCAATTTTCATATAATCATCGCGATGTGAGCAGTAATAAAATGCAGTTTTCATATTAGTTTAAGGAACTTAAATTGCGGAAGATCGTCAGTGGAGGCAATTATTTTAACTCCCTGTAAATTTTTAGGAATTTACAGATGGCAGTTTTAGAAGGCCTGACATTTAATCCTGGGAAAAGCCCTGCATGCAACAAACGTTTCCAAGTGCGTAATTTTTTTAAATATGTCGCGGCCAGGTTATAATGCAAGGAGGCAATTAGGCTTATCTTGATCCTTCTCCTCTATCAGGAGGTATGTTTCTTACCGAGAAGATAATTCTCAACACGTTTTCGGGTACAGTAAGTTAAATTTAACTTAATCGAGATGCAATAATAAATAGATTATTATTTACCACCAGAAAACGACTTAGGAAGTAGTAATAAATATCCCACAATATAGGAGGGTCAAAGATAACAGCCGCTAAGGATAAAAGCCCAAAGGCCGGATTTTTGAAAATTTCGTCACACGCAGGAGTCGGGGAGAGGTAATTTTGAAAAATTAGTCGGATTTACACAATTAAAAATATTAATTAATTTTTAAGCGACGAAATTTTCAAGACTTTACCGTAGTCAGAGTTTTTAATGTTTATTGATAGTTTTGTTCACTTGCTTATTTACCACGTACTCATATTTAAGTGGTATATTAACAGGAGAAAAAGGAACATTCTCATCCACTTGCACTGTATGACTCTGTCTCCTGTGGATAATTTCGATTTAACATTTTGGTATTCATAAAGATATATTTCTTTACTCTTCTATATTATTTATTAAAATTTGTATTTCATTTATGTTTCTTGTTTATCTTACTTAATTTACATATTTCTCCAGTAATTGATAAATTAATTTCTAAAACATTTTCAGAGGAGCCCTCATTAAGCCATGGTTGTTCACAGAAATCAAGGAACAGAGACACTGGGACATTTCTGCCAGTGAAAGGCTGGACATGCTGCAGTCATTCACCAACTATGGCCTGGAGCACTGGGGATCTGATGACCAGGGGGTGGACACCACCAGAAAGTTTTTACTGGAGTGGTTGTCCTTTCTGTACAGGTAATTTGCATAGTTTAAGCACACACAGAGAGACATACTTCTAGGATAATGTTAAAACAAGTTTCATTTCATTTCAAGTTGTTGAATCTACTTGGTAAAATGTTAGAAGAACTTGATGTTTACTTTTTTCCTCAAACATCGACTCACTAGATACCTTCATCAGTCAGACGTGACATGTAGATGTTGCTGGGGTCACATAATGTCAAGAGAAAATCTTTCTTACACCCCTTAATGCCACATTGTCCAAAGATGTCCATGTTATGTCTTTGCCGTTGAAAAATAAGATATGAGATTTTATAACAAAGCTTATCTTAGTAAGGAATATTTGATAGCACACAAAGGCAAGTATACAAACACCATGGGTGAAAGTTTTCTGAATTATACCCAATTTCAGGATTTTCAGTCTTTATTTTGTCAAATTGATTGTTTTGTTCATATGGTCTAAATGCAGTGACAAATTGCAAGCTATGTTTTCAGGTTTTTCAGGTTTTACGACTTAAACCCCATGATAAACACTTAGCCCTGTGTTCCTCTTTGTGCTAGGTATATCCCGGTTGGAGTGCTTGACAGAGTCCCTCAGAAGATTAACGAGAGGCCACAGCCGTTCTTTGGCCGCAATGACCTGGAGACTCTGATGGCCAGTGGAAACAGTGGAGACTGGGTCAAGATAAGGTGACCAATGATAACTATTTATTTATTTATTTATTTATTTATTTATTTATTTATTTTTATTAACATATTCCAATGTGTTTAGATATAAGGGATAAAATTTCTCCTTAGAAACTTTTTTTATAGATTTGTTTGATTAAATAATTTTGATAAAACAACTTTTAAACCCAGAATATGGAAACCCCAACCTTTGTAATTAGCACTTGGATCATAACGTACAGCTCATGAAATTTGCAGAGCCTTTATTGTATAACTATACAATTAACTAGGAACACTTGGACGCTATGGAACCTCAAATTCCCTGTGGACTATTTGTTGCCTAAGGATAGCAATTTATTGCAACATCTTATGAGCTAAATAATTTGTAGTAGATGATAAGTTTGATCTGGGAGGGAACTCAAAAACACGGTATTTATTTTATTTTAATAATTCATTAATTTTTTTGCCAATATACAATCTTGAATACTTCCTTTGTTTTTATTCCAGTGAGATGCTTTTGGGACCGGTCAAGCCAGGGTTCACTTTTCTTCCTAAGCACAAGGCAAACGCATACAAATAGAGCAGAGTAAAGAGACAAACATGAAGTCCTTACATAGTGCTAACTCTTTTGAGGAACATTCTAGTTATTTATAGAAAAACAGGATTTACTAGATACAAAAGTTTTGATGCAGTGACATTGATTTTAGAGGCGTGTATTTTAATATTATGTGGTTTTAGCTAGATTACGAGGAAGATGTCTCCACATAAGAAAGAAAATGTATAAATATTATTAATATATAGTGATATGTAAGAGAATAAATTTGTCAAATTTTTAAAAAGGAAATATGATTTGTCATCATTGCATTGCCCCTGTAACATTTAGAAAACACATTCACAGGTATCTCAAACACGCGTAAACTGTAACGAAACCAACAAAATTCCACAAGAGGAATGTTTTTGAAGCTTNTACTGGGTAGAGGAGAGTTAATGTCACTACTCTCAAACTCAGGGTGACAGAGAACATATACTGGGTAGAGGAGAGTCACTGTCAGTACCCAGAAACTCAGGGTGATAGAGAACATGCCTATTAGAATAGTTGTCAGCCACATTGGACAAGTTCCTAATGGGAAACTGGGGAATTTACCAAGAACTTGCTGCCTGTTAAGACTTAATTACTTGGCTGCTTGGCTACAGTAGCATGCCTGAGGGTGCTTCAGGGGAAATTTGTCAGAACAGAAGACCTCCAACATCTATAAATATATTCAAACATTGATAAACTAGTATTGTATGCTCTATAATATACAGTATAAATGTCTGGAATGCCTTCCTTACAATGCAAGGCATTGATACTTGATAGACAGTCATTTCTACTCAGTTTTCATTAACACCCAATCAAATGTGTTACCTAACTGGTTACATATGTATTCTATATGTCTGTGACCATAATTACTTTCATGCATTTTTCATATGAAACAATTAGCAGAACTTATTAAATAAGACATGATTTGATTAGTATATTATAATATCAGATCAAACAGATCAAATAAAATTTAAAAAATAAATTAACAAGGTTGCAGGTAGCATTCATGGTATCACTATCATTTTAATGACCTTTATCTAAATGAAACTATGCTCCATTGATCAACTGAAGAATTTTATTGAGCTCAACCCTGAATGCAAATTTCATCTGAATTTCTTGTACATAGGACTCTAGATGTGATGGTTAATTAAATATTATGATATAAATAGCCTGTTGCTCATCAGGTCAGGAATAACCTAAGGTTATTATCATGTTATTACCAGTTTGGTGTCTGATTTTATTCAATATTATTTTTTTATTCATAAGACAGCTTGGGCATAGAAGAAATGGTCTAGAAAAGCAAAAGTCAAATATGTTATTGTTTTACTGCACCTCCAAAGACAGCTGAGTAGGTTGCTAACGTTAGCGATACCTGCATGCTGATGTATTAAAGTGTAACAACTTGAACTGAAATATTCTTATTTAGTTTAAAAACTAAACATCATAAGTGAAAGCCATGCAGATCAAATCAAATATATGTTGACTTCTATTCCGCTTGCTGTGACATTATCATCAAAACTGGCCTGAATGAGCAATGCACAGAAACTTCCACTAACATTTAACGTATTAAATCTGTGCATTTGCATTTGTTTATATTCGTCGGCAATTTCACTGGATATATAGAGTTTTAAGAGATTCTCCTGTTAACTTGCACGGCCTATGATAGATATATACGTTGGCTATCTGTAAAGTAACAATTAAAGTGATCGGATACATTTGATGTTTAATTCGTGAATATTTATGATATGGAGTATTTTTAACTTACTTAGTCTCCAGGTACTGCAAGGCCAAATCAAGACTTTCTCCTTCAACTTCTGTGATGGAGAGGGTCAGATTTTCGATTCTTATTGGCAGACGATCGGCATCTGTGTATGTGCCTTTATGCTCTTTGCAGAATTCTTCCAGAAACTGCACATAACTCGACGCATTGCCCGGTTTTGCCATCCCCGATCTACAAAATTCTGCGGCTTTCTCACACCTCTTGTGTACCTACACATAAACAGATGACGTCAGAAAGGTTCTCACCTTCATTTAGAAATAATTGCGTTTTCTTTGGTTAAATAATTTTTGTTAGTTTGTTTGTATGGTGTCATGTCTATATTTTGACTTCATATTATAAAATTGTTATTTTTGAAGGAGTTAAAATGAGTAAATTAACTATGCAATTTCCGTGACGTCATTGTGCGCGAAAAGACTTGCGCGAATTTCAAGTGTGACCCACATTTATCTGTTGAGACATGGAAAACAAGGAGAGGGAACTTAGCAGTTTTCCCCTGCCGCCGATCTATCGCTCAAAGCTTGTTGCTGCTGGCTTTATCACAGTGGGTGACATAAAAGATGTCAGACCAGTGGAACTTAGTAAAGGTGGCATATTTTTGAAGAGACTAATCCTATCAAAGATATAATCTAACGTATTAACTAATATCTATGGAAGCGTGTAAGGGTCACAACACCAACACCAAAAACAAAACTCACAACACCAACACCAACACCAAAAACTCATGGGGCGAGTTGTGGAATAGAGATGCTTGTGCTCGGTTGCAATGTGCAATGCTTTACGGGGCCCAGATTATCAGTATCTTTTTTAAAGTACTGACAACTAAACTATCCCTTTTAATTTAATGCTTCCCCTGTGGCATTTCTTTCAGAGTTATCAATATCCAAAGAAGCAGCCCTGGATATTCTGCAGACTATTGAAAACCATTCCTCAACAAAACCTGGCAATGGACATTCATCCAGTTGCTCTCAAGCACGAACAGCGTTAGATATGCTGAGAGATGAGAGCCTGCAGCAGTATATTATCACATTCTCAGAGAGGCTAGATGACATGTTGGGGGGCGGGGTCCCACTGACCAAGACAACCGAGTTCTGTGGGGCACCTGGTATTGGGAAAACACAGATGAGGTATTACTTTGTACCTTATGTATATGTCTATATGACCAAGCAGATATACATTATTAGCATATACAAATTTTTAATTTTAAAACTACATTATTAGTTTTGAATCAATATTTAAGATGGTGTGCATTCAGGGACAGTACCCAATGAGTTGGATTGATCTCCTTAGATCAATAGTTTCATTGGGAATGGGCCCTAAATGTCAGGGAAGTGAAAAAATATCCTCATTGAAGATTTGTGGTATCAGTTGCAATGATGGATCGTTGCTGCATTATATCATAAATCCAGTATTATATTTATATTTTTCTATTCTGTGACATCTCAATCCTGGATGAGCAATGAAACTCTCTCAATAGTATACACATGTGTTAGTCTAGTCTGAACTTACCTTATTGTTTGATGTGCCCAGTTTGCCACAATTTTTAAATACACTGCCCCTCGTGTCCTAATGTAAATTAATTATTAAGAGATTTAATATTTTAAAAGGACACCTGCTTATTTTGTTTCAACCTGAACACAGGATTTTTATTAATGATAATTTTAGGAACAAAATGTCCCTGAAGCATTTTGATCACGGTAATATGGGAAAGACAGACTTTTTAATAAGATATATTTGTGTATTTCAATTTTTTATATTTTAAACTTTTATTTATTTATTTTTATAATAATTATTGTTTTATTTCTGTAGTTTTCAACTCTCAGTTGATGTACAGATTCCAGAGTGTTTTGGGGGTCTAGGGGGAGAGGCAGTGTATATAGACACAGAAGGAAGCTTTATAGTAGACAGACTAATAGATGTTGCCAAGGCTACAGTCGAACACTGCCAGCACATTGCAGCAGCAGAGAATAGTGCAGGTGAGAAAGATAGCACAGAAACTTCCTTTAGATATTTAGATGAACAATTTTCATTATAACTGTTTCAGTATTACAAACCCAACAAAATGTATCCTCCTGTACCAACACTAATCTAAAATAGTATAAATTTTGATAAATGCAGTGGTGTGATTAATCCAGTGACTTACTTTCCAGAGCAAGTTGAAGCCTTGAAGAATTTTTCTGTGGAGTCCATATTAAAAGGAATCCACTACTACAGGTGCCATAATTATGTAGAGCTCATTGCTACAGTGCATCTTCTTCCAGAATTTTTAAAGGAACACTCGCAGGTATAACTCATATAAGATCTTATTTATATGTGAAGTCTCATTGTATATTCCTTTTATTAGCTTGCATGATTGCAGCTGTTAATCTTGTAAAAAAATTACTTGAGTATGGTACAGCACATTTACAGTAAGAAATACACACGTACTGTGGCACATCACATTTTGTAATGGGCATCATCAGTGCTGAGAGACATATATCAAAACCCTCCAAGATATACGAGAAACTTGTAAGAAATAGAACTATACTTGGACTCCTTGTGTGTTTTATGGATCCAAGATCATTAGAACTTATACATGTGAAACTTTCCTTTCTTTTCTTTATTTTAGGTCAAGCTCATAATTGTAGACAGCATAGCTTTTCATTTCCGGCATGACTTTGATGATCTTGCTCTAAGAACCAGGCTACTCAATGGAATGTCTCAGAGTTTCATACGGTTGGCAAATGAACACACTTTAGCTGTAAGTGACCTTTCTGCAATAATTTATGACCTTGTCTCCATTAGCCTATGACCTTGTCTAAGCTTTTTTCAAACAAAATGTTTTATCAGTTTTAGCCTAAGAAGTTAAGATTATATGCAGCAATGATTCTAAATAATGCTAGCTAACATGTTTGTTTAATATTACTCTAGTAACTTGTGCAGTTCTTGTTCTTTTTAAATTCAAACTAACAAAAAATATGGAAATGTATACCAGTGTTTTTACAGCTTATTTTCTGCTTTTTGTTTGTACATTTGACAGCTTTGCTGCCTTGTTTTAAATTCAAATTAACTTAAATTTACAGAAATGTACACCATTGGTTTTTTACAGCTTAACAATTTATTACATTAAAACCATCTATCCCAGGATATTTTAGAATCATCCCACAATTCCAGGTCGTGCTGACCAACCAGATGACCACACGTTTCAGCGTTGACCAGCAAGGACAGTCGTACCTGATTCCGGCCCTGGGGGAGAGCTGGGGGCACGCCAGTACGGTGAGGGTGGTGCTGTACTGGGAGAACAGCCAGAGATGGGCCAAATTATATAAGTCACCCTATAGGAAGGAGGACACGATACCATATCAAGTCACGGTGAGAAATGTCTGGGAAGCTGTTTTGTTTATAATATGACACATCTGTTGCATGTTTTAAAGTACTGAATAGAAACACAGAAAATGTTTAAATCAAATATATTATGGGACATTTGGATCTTAGTTATTCAGAATTTCTTTCTCACATTTGTCTGTTGACTAAACTGCATATTAATATCTTTCTTTATACCATCAAAGTAGATAATCATTTCTTTTCCATGGCCTTGATAATATGTTTAATGCATATAATTTTTAATACAACATTCATAATTTTGCAATTTTAGACTGGAGGAATAAGGGATGTACAAATTACAGATCCTGTAACAGTACCCACACATACACCATTACAAGATGAGTCACAACCTTGTGGTAAGAAAAGGAAAATAGATACACAATGAACAGGAAAAAAGTAATGTTAGCCCCCATGGCAGCTTACAGAATGGATATGCCTGATATATTCTGGTGCCCTTTAAGGAAGACAATTACCAAGAGCATTGTACCTTAAAGGAGGATTGACAGAATGGAGATTGACTTCTGGTATTATTGATGTTGACAGGAGATGGTGGGCACTAGGATGTTTAGTTCAGCCATTGGTTGCAGCAGATGTGCTAAAATCTAAAATCAGATTTGGCAGTTACAAGAAATTTTGCTGGAACAATGAACTTTTTTCCAAACAGACTGTAAATTCAAAATGGCAGCTTTAAAAATTGTTTCTAATCACTTGGAATGCCTGAACACAATTTAATACAGGTCCTTGAAAATTTTTAAAATCATTCATGACCAAAAGGATGACAACTTCAGTATGACTGCTATAGTGTTGATGAGCTAGGATGGTTGCCTCCTTTCCTCCACAAATAACAGGTGGATTAATTTGTTATGATTTGCCAACCTTCATGGATACTTCACTTCACTTTTGGAACCTGAAGAGATAGTAACTGGCTAGCATTGCCAGTATGTTGTTCACCAAGAGTGTGATTAGATCTGTCAAAGATACTGGAGGAGACTTTTAACCTTTTTTTTCACTTTCATGGTTAATAAGTGCCCTTAATAAGACCATAGTCATACAAATGATGTAAAATTAACTGTTCAGTTTATGTCAAAGAACAGTTTTACAACTGTTTATGTTTAATACAAATATTTAATGAAAGTTTTGTTTGTGTCTAGTCTAGGCATTTGTGAAAAAAAAACAAGGTTAGTTTTAGTTTACAACCTGAGCAATGTTACAACAACAATTCTGCAAATATGTATTTTCAATATTATATTTTAATTTATGTACATATATACATTCATTGCTTGATAAAAATTAATATTGTAAGTTTTTAAATGTCCTACTCGTTCAACTTATCTTTCCATTGTTTGGATGCCATTACATGAACAGCCCTTGGTATTGTTTATCCCCTCTAGAAAACATGCTCTCATGGAGTGTGTAATTTGAAATTGGCTATTAATAGCCAACATAGTTCAGAGTTGTGGAATGACCTGCAGACATTTATTTCTTTTTCCCCTTACTAGAAGCTCGCCCACCCTTGCCAGCAGCATTTCCTTCTAGTGCAGAAAGTTTTTTGTTCAGTGCCTCATCCGTGACTTTTATCTGTTCTTCCATAGAAAGTCTTAATTTGTTCATCTCCTCTGTTAAATGGGCCTGGATCATGGAGCGCAGTTCTTTAGCAGACTCGGATTCTTCTGAAATTCAGCAAGAAAAATTAGCTAAAACATTCATCACTTCTAGTAGAATAGAAGCACACATAAGTCCATGTAAGCAGTATCATGTTATACCTGTCTGTGGCTGTTCTTCTTGAGGTTCTGGAGCTTGTTCAGCATCTTGTGCCTCCCCCTCTGTCCCCTCAGTAGGTTCTGTCTCCACTGCTACGTCCTCCCCAGCTGTAAAATGAGTTCTTTTCATTGTATTCATGTATAAGATAAGATGATAATTAACTGTCATATCAATATATAGTTTTAAACAAAAATTAATGCCATATGTCAATAAAATAACATGATACATTAGATTGTGCTCATTAAAAATATGTGTTGCTGTTGGATAAAAACTGGTGTTGTTACTTGTAGAGGTTGGTTTGAGGGAATGTAATTGTGATGTTGATGACACAGGCATGAACAAACTATGCACTGGATGGCCAGGGTCACTCGTAGCTGACTTTACTTTCTGAAGCACCCATCTCACACACACATGCCTTCCTCTGATGGGACATTTCCATTGATATTTTGTTGATCTGTGTCTACTTCCCACTGAATCTTTAAGCCTAATCTACCATTTAAACAACTGCATATATTGTATAAACAAATATTCCCACAAAGTAGTATACATTTAATTGACACAAAGCTAATATTGATAGTAACCACTATTTATGGGTGCCAATACCTTCAGATGGCGCTGGAGATGTGACTGGAACTCCTATATAATTCATTGATAAATCCAGTCGCACCTGGAAAATGAGCGGTCACATTATTATAACATGACAGTCAGTAAAAGCACATTTTATATTTGTTTAACAAGTTTTTGTTAATGACACTGCACTGTCAAAAGCAAGGCTATTACCAGAGAAAGTATTAATGAACAAACATTTTACTCTATATATATTTATAATGTGAAACATTAAATATTATGTAAACTTACCATGGGTGTGAAGGCATACTTGTATAGCTTATAATGTCTGAAGTATGTGTGGATGACATAATCTGTCACTTTTCGCAACTCATCAGGGGAAAACAGGTCAATGCTGAAAGGAGGCCTCTGAAATTACAAAATCGTGAATCGAAATGGTATGATTTACACACTTTCTATTTTATATTCCTTAAGAAATAACGTATGGGACACTGCCTACTAAACTATAAGAAACACATGTATGTTGTGGAAGAAATATAAGAAATAGCTATATTTATAATAATTTTGAAAAGTGCAACTGATTAAGGTGTGATTGAATCAAATTCAAGTTATCTATGAATATTTATAAAATGGCACAGCTTACCTTTACAGCATGGCACAGAATGAGATCCTTGAACAGCTTGAAACATTGTTCTACATTTCCAAAGGGAGTTTCTGGTGACATGAAAGAACAGAATGTACCAATGACAGCCACATATTCAGTGTATTGAAAAAGGTGGGAAATATTTCAAAACTGATACAGGATCCTTATGGTAACAGCTCCAATAGTAAGTAGAACTATGACATAGGAGCAGCTGTGTTGTTTTTACAGTGACAAGTTTTGGACCAAAACCAGCTTAAACACAATTCTCTGTTAAAAAACAATCTGTTATGCTACTACAGTATGATAGAGTAGTATTTTACATTTCATGGTAAAATATGTGTAATGTGATAAATATTAAATAAAGATTAACTCACCTGTGGCAACATCATGAACTCTCTTCACAATGGAGAAAAATGCTGATGTCTGTTCTTTGGTAAAGTTATTGTCTCTGGCAAACTGTATGGTGTAGTAGTAGAGATCTAACAAGATATCTGTCTTCAGTGTGTCATCACCATTTGTATTCAGACTGGCTGTTGTTCTCAAGATGCTGAAAAACAACGATGGATTTACTGGGATTTCTACAATACTGAATATGATTCATATTATGAACTAGAAATGGCAATTTATATTGCTTCAGTATGCAGTAGCTAGGCTGTGTTAAAACAATTTTGCTGAAAACTTTCCAGCTATGACTAAATCAAAATTTAGATTGAAATCCAAGGTGCTTACTTCTTTATATCATCCACTGTGGAAGCTTCCTCCAGACTATCCATGTCTGCTACCGTTAGATCAGCCCTGGCATATAAAATATAGTGAAATTTTTCGCATGTTGTGCCTTTATGTAGCTATCAGCTTTTTAAAATCTCCCCCTCAAAAATGTGATTAATAAATTTAAGAAAATCTGGCTTTAAAAAGCTCAAAATATTAATATGCAACTTTTGCTACCAAAAAATGCAACACTAAAAATTAGTGATTAACAACATTTAAAAACATTATTTTGTGCTTGGCACTTACAAACTACCCAATAGTTTCTGATACAAAAAGTGGTACTTTTGTAGTATGTACCCCCCCACCCTGTAACTTTCTGTAACTTTCACTTTTCAAACAGTTTTTTACATTTTCTTGTTCATCTATGTCAAAGCTGTTGAAATAAAATGCTTTTGTAATTACCTGTGGACTTTTCATTAGTTTTAATCACGTTTAATCCAGCCCATTGAAATACAATGTTAGAATCTTCAATTTACACCCGCAGTCAATAACTTGCCGCGTTTTCGTTGGCTAACTCTAAGGTAATTTTATGTGAACAAGTAGCTCATAATAATTTCACAGAGGAAGTCCAAGTATACAATGTATCAATCACATAAAATAAGTTAGAGTTAGCCAACGAAAAGGCTGCAAGTTATTGACTGCAGATACATTGTAAATTTTCACATTGTATTTCAGTGGGGTGGATTAAACGTGATTAAAACTAATAAAAAGACCACAGGTAATTACAAAAACATTTTATTTCAACAGCTTTGACATAGGTGAAAAAGACAAAGTAAAAAAATGTTTGAAAAATGAAAGTTTCAGGAAGTTACAGGGTGGGGGGGTATACTACAAAAGTACCCAAAAAGTTAAGCTTACCATACTAGCACCTTCGCCTTATGTTCCCTGGGCTAAAAGTAAAATAAACGATATAATTATCAGAAAACACAGCTAATGACACTAACGTCAAAGTTAGCGTTTATAAGAAATTTATATCTTGGACCCATCATACATATGCTAGTATGCAAGATGAGTCCAAATGTAGACACACGGTAAATTATTCACAAATTTGCATCAAATCAAATGATGAAGTAAGTAATTTCCTTAGAAGCATGATGTTTCCATGGTCTTAACACCCCATGTTTTCTGACTCATTCGTTCATTTATGGTGATGGACTTTTTTCCGTGTTGTAGTTTTCCCCGCAGAGCAGGTGGCACGTATATCACTGCAAGTTTCTACTACAGGTAGTACATCTATCCTGCATTACTATCAAAAACGAGCTCTAACTGCATATGAATAAGACCTGTCTTTGCATACCTGAACCAGTTTAGGTGGTTCCTGTACAATATTTTCAGGCATTTCTAAGTTTAATCTCTGCGGTTGATTCTGGCAGGTGGGCTGCGGCGTTTTTCAATATGGCGACGTTGCTAAGAGAAAAGTGTCATTAATGACCACCGATGTAACGTTCATGCTGGCTGTTCCCGCTGTAGCACTTATGGTATCTTTATATTGGCCGTTTCGTTTGCGTGGTTATCCGTGAAACTCGGGTGAATTTAAGAAATTCTAATTCTGAGATCCTGTTTATTATAATGGCAGTTTTTCTGGAACGCATTTAAAAGGGCAAATTTGTGTGTGGGATCGGCGGGCGAGAATTAATTAAGAGACGTCATTTATTTATTTATTTATTTATTTATTTATTTATTTATTTATTGTGTTTGAAAGGATCACACAAGCATTCGAAGCCTAGCCTCTATTTACGGTCAATCCTGTAACCAAATAACAATCCCAACTCATCGTTTCAGTTCATCGCCGTTATCAGAAGATGCTCTGAGCGCTATAGAGCAATCATCACTTTGTCAGTTCTGGTACAGATATTAGGGCATTTACGTCTAACGCGTCACTTCTCATTTCCTTCGGCGTTTTATTTATACCTGACTTTAACGCCTTAACTCGCTGCCTCACGACAGGTGTTCGCAATGTCCAATATAACGCAGGTGGATCGGGAGTGATGAAAATTAAGCGGATGAAATTTGTTATTGAATATATTGCAGCAAAGTATCATAATTTTCTCTTCCCATGACCTTTACTTGCCCTTTTTAATTTTATTTTTAGAGGATGACTTATCACAGGCAATTAGGGAAAAACGAATTTCTCTTTTATGTGGTGCAACTATAGTTCACTGAAACATTATATACTATTTTTAATCCAAGATATACAATTTTGCAAAATCATTTAGCCAGAACACATGAAGCAGTCTACGGGCCACACATCTAGACTTGTACCCTAATTATTCTCTGTGGTTATTTATTAAGCTAGTTTCCAATAAACACCGACTTATCTTATAAAAGATAATCTTCTGATGATGCTGAGTCAGTTACGTTAGGGTCTGGGAATTTCTCAGGGGATCCCGTTTCTAAGTATTAAAGAGATGTATAATAGATAAATAAGTATCATAGATAAAGAGATTCCAAACAACACCTATGATACAGTAGTTGGGTAGGGTACCGATTAGGAAGCCCATTCACGAACGATTGGTGTTAACCACAGTTTTCTGTGATAATATTTACAAATTATTATTGGCAATAATTATGAATATGGTAGCCACATGTAGGCCTACCACACCAGGTGGACCGCATCTGCTACAAAATTGAACACTTTTGATTTTTTCCCTTGAATTCTGATAAAACGAGATCAAAAATATGTTGGCCAAAGTTCCACATTATCAGGATAAATAACGTTTCACGTCATTGGGTTGGATAACATACTGTGTACGTATAAAACAGAAAACGCGATGATTCTTGTCGTTCTCCAGGTCCGCGCGCGCCTCCTCAAATCGATGTATGGAATCTGACGCAGTGCCGCGGCCATGCCTCGGATGAACGCTCTGAGTCACTCAGCCCCCGAAAACAATTTTCGTGGAAGATGCCTGCTGAAGATAGACCCAATTTTAATAAACAACGTTGATTTAGACGTTGGTACGGTAACATAACGATGATATATTAGACACTTGTATTGCCGCAAGCAAGCTACGGACTGAACTAGCACTGAGATAGCTTGCAAGAGCTCTGTATATCCGTCTAGATTGCAGAATCAAGAGGCCGAGAGCTAAGTAAGCATTTGATACACCGCTTATAATAGTCTGAATGTTTGCCCTTTACTGTTAGTTGGCGGGGAAATGCATAGCCGAGTCCAGGTAAGTGCTTCAGTGTCAGTAATACCGCAGAAAAACAACACGGGCCAAGGCTGACCATAGGCTATTGAAATTACAGCTTGTTCCTGACGAACTGTTGGACTGCTTAGTGGCCGAGTCTGTGATAGTGAGATAGTCTGTGATGTCGAAATATACATGTGAAGCTTGATAGACACCTTCGCTGCATGAGGACATCTTGCTAATGAAGAGCGACTGAAGATCAGGTAAGTTTCCTTTTTTTTTTTTTGTTTCATCTTGTTCTTGCCATTATATCCGGTCTTTAATGAAGATGAAATTCATCATATCTCCCTCTCTACCCCTCTTTCTCTCTTTCTCCTGCTTTTCCCATTGTTTTCTCTCACACACTCACATACCCCCCACACACACAAACATACCCCCCCACACACACTCACATATCTCCCACACACACACACACACACACACACACACACACACACACATACACACACACATACACACACACACAGCAGTCACATACCCCCTCACACACACACACATACACAAACACACACACACACACACACACACACACACAGCAGTCA